ACATATAAAAATAATAATGATTTATTTAATCGCTGAGGTAAATTGATTTATGTTTTGAAATTTAGGGTTTAGTTTTATTCTAATAAATAAAAATATATGCAAACTAAATATTGCTTAAGAGAGATAGAGAAAGATTAGCAACCAGGGGAGAAAGTGAGAGTGAAGGGTGAAGAAATGCAAGAAAGGATGGGTATGTCGGCCATCTGTAGTCAAAATATCCTTTTCAGTTCAATCAATAAATACAAAAATAAAATAAAAAATTCGGCTCCGTAGAGAACACCCCCACAATCCTAAATACGTCATATCCATATATATTGTTTTGATTAGATTAAGAAATACATAATGTAAAATTAAGGATAACTTATAAATTTGGTAATTAAATTTTACTTTCTCACCTATTTCACTCAGTGTACTTTAAATCTTTTTAATTTTCTCATCAAACTTAATATATTAGGTTTTTTGGTCACTCAATCATTTTATCACTAATAACGTTATAAATGACATGTTATATAGATGCAAAAAAAAACGTTGTTTCATTGAAAATTTTATTTTGTTTAAATGACAACATTTTAACGTCGTTAACTATTTAACGAAAGTGATAAAATACTCAATCTACTAACTTCAGTGAGAAAATTGAAAAATTTTAAAGTTCAGTAAGAAAATAGGAGAAAGGCAAAGTTCAGTGATAAAATTTGTAATTTACCCAAAAATTAATCCTACTATTTATTAAAATAGTCATTTTGATCCATATTCTTTTTTGGGGCATTTTGGCCCTCCAACATTTCATTTTCGGACAAAAAAATCCTTTTATAGATGGAAATCGTTAGTTAACACACGATTAACACCTCAAAATAGTAATTTTTTACCCTTAATTGAAACGTTGAGAGCCAAAAATGCTCCAGAAAAAAGAATAAGGTCCAAAGTGACTATTATGTCAAATATTAGGGGTCTTTTTGCTATAAAATGAAACATTGAGGACTAAAATGTTTAGAAAAAGAATAGACCAAAATGACTATTTCAATAAAATTGGTGACTAATTTTGATATTATTCCATTCCAAATTCAAAGGCAGCTCTATAAAGGGTATGGACTTTCTTGGCCGACTTCAAATTTACCACGTTTTGGACATTTCTCCTTTCTAAATCATTCCGTACTGAGGACCAAATAAGAAATCATATTTTATTCTCTCTGGAGTTAAAATCAAGGATGAATGAATCGAGGTGGGTGTGATACTATTCTCTATTTTTTTATTAATTTTTTTAGACTTTTCTATAAAAAAATTCTTTTATGAATAATTTATTTTTACCTTTTAAAATTTAAAAGTTAATTTTTTAAAATTATATAAATTTAATTTTTAATATAAAATTTTATGCACATCCCTATTCGGGATAATCCTCGAATCGGATGTGATAACTGGTTAGCACTACAAAAACCCAATATGAAATTGCAATTTAGACGATGCTTTGAGTGCCTCAACTTACCATTAAGGACCCACTAGATATTTCCTGAGATGTTTGTCTCCTTAAAGAGGAGAAAAAGTCATGTAGATGCTTATATGTAGTTAGAAGTTTAGTTAGAAAAAGATTTATAATAGTTTAAAAGAAAGTAATTCTACGCGTTAGTTTGGAAATCAACGGGATGAAATATTAATTATTTAAATGAGAGTAAAGTACACAAATGATCTATCAACTATATAATCCTTTTATTATTAAAACTTATAAAGTAGTCCCCGACTATAGAACATTGTTTGTTAAGATATTGCTTTGTTGAATCCCGAGTATAATACATTATTTTGTTGAGTCCCCGACTATTGAAAGTTATAAAATGTCACTCAACTATTATTTGTTCCAAACTTATCATTTTCCTTGAAAATATTAATGACACTCTAACCTGAGCGTTACCCTGCTGACTAGGAAATAATAAAATTTGATCATATAATCTCAAACAATTATCATATCTCAACGGCATGTTAACATCCAACTCAAATTATCGTAATTTTTTAACAAAAAATGACGATTTTGGAACATATGAATACTCAGGTGACCATTTTATAACTTTTAATAGTTGGTCAAAGTAATGTTCTATAGTTAGATGAGCATTTTATAACTTTTAATAGTCGAGGAACTCCATAAAACAGTTCCCTATAGTCGGGTTAAAAATTTAAGTGTATTATGAATCGGTAAAATGAATCGAAAATATTATCTTTTGTTTTTTTGAAAGAGGTTGAATTTTGCATTTATATCGGATAGGTACAAAAGAATTTGTGAAGAGTTACAGTCAAATGATTAAATTAAATAAAATATAAAGTTAAAAAATTAAATTGAAAAAAGAAAATTATTTTCAAAAAAACTGATTGACATTACTCATGTATTGAATAATAATTGAGGAGCAATCGATTCAAGTTTGTAAAATGAACTTAAAACTATGAAGGAATCGAAAATAATTTCAATAATCAAATCATAAAACAATCAATTTAGTTTATTAAAGCTAAATACCAAAAACATAGTAATTTTAATATTTAATTATTCAAACCTTTAAAATTTACTCAAACTTAAAATTTGAACTATTAATTCAAACTAATTTGGATAACTCAAAACTGAAAATATTTTTTTTAAATTAAATCGAATCTCATACATAACTATCTCCAAATTGAAAGAATTTCACTTCGATACAGTGAAAATATATTTAAAATTACGATTGGTCTATGAAAATCTTGGATGGATGGAGAGGAGGGTGGTTTAGACAATTACTCTTAAAATCTTTAAATTATTATATATTTTAAATAACTTTTTTATATATTTTCTATTAATAAATTTTTTTAAATTATATAAATTTATAATCTCTCAAAATTTGAAAATTCATCTCATGAAACCCATTAACATGGTTGAAATAAGAGTCAAACAACTCGGCGGACATAATCCATTGCTATGTTCGATCATAATAATTTGTTGTATATATGGTTATCATGATCAATAACATGGAAATGAAATACAACAAATATAGTTAAGACACGTGTTCATAGGTGATAATAAAGGCCCTCCGACAATTAAACAGTGCAACTGTTTAATCAAATAGACATCGATCTTAAGTTCCATATACATTTTAAAGTAAAGTGTACCGATGGTCCTTTTTAATTATTAAAAATTAAAAATCTCTTAATTATACCATATTGTTTTGTTAAATTTTTAGTTATTAAAAGTTACAAAATGATCACTTGACTATTCATATGTTTCAAACTTTTTATTTTTCGTAAAAAAATTAACTGTCGTCTGAACTAAACGTTAACCTATTGATTGATATATGATAACATCATATTTTAATGATGTCTATTAACACTATCATCGTTTTCAAGCATTGACTCGACGACTTAATATTTCAAACACTGGCTCGACAATATAATGTAAACAGAGAGTCAATCTACAAAATATAGCTCAAGCGGTTCTAGGATCAGATTATATCATACTCTAGACAATAGGTTAACATCCAGCTTAGACGATAATCAATTTTTCAATAAAAAATGAGAAGTTTGGAACATTTGAATAGTTAATAACTCGACAAAACAAAGTCTTATAATTAGAGAATTATTTTGTAACTTTTAATAAGTGAGCACTAAACAAAATAATACCCTAGAATGGAATAACACTTTACTCTATATTTTATTAACTCAAATCCAATTCTACACTTTCAATCTTTCATCCGATGGCTGTGCAATTAGCCCCCCCCTCACCTCACTCTATCTCTTCACGTTTTGACTCATTAGTTTTTCTCGAAGTCCAAAAAAATTGCAAAATTTATGCATCATTACCAGGTGACAAACATGATTTTTGTTAACTTTGCTTCAAATGAGAGGGAAGTGGATGGCTTTGGCAACGAAGTTTAGGTTTTCAAGATGTATAGCATGCGTATAATCGAGTATTTATTGGCTATATTTTACAGTCAAGTAAAACTCTATTTAACTTGAAACAAATTGGATTTTTTATTTAATGTAAAAATTTTGACTTGACTTGATTTGTCATGTAATTTCATAAATTCGATTTGTTTTGAAAAAAATTCAAATTTAAGTTATAAAATAAAGTTCAAATAAGTTAAAACTTTTAATAATTAGTAGATTGAATTTCAAATTTGAGTCGAGTCTTTAACTCTGCATGATATATATATATCACATATGAAAAAACATATATATATATCATATATGGTTATAGAAAACCATTTAAATTGAAATCAATTAATATATAGTTTTATAAACTCGAACAACTTGACTCAAATTTTATAAACTCGGCTATTTTTAAAAACAAAATATACGTTATAAAATAAGAATCAATTAAGACCATAGAAAAAAGTTGCAAGTTGCAATCTAATCCCTCTACTTTACTAAAAGTGAGAAGTAAGTCCTTTTAATTTTTTAAAATTTAGTCCTCATATTTATAAAAGCCTGAAAAATTTAGTCTAATTGTTGGTAAACACATGGAATTAGGGATGCTAATTTTTACTAATTTGTTGCCTATAAGTTGTTAAATTGTTTTTTTGTTGTTGTTAATTTAGCGAGTATTTAAGATGGGTGATTAAACATTAATGTTTTAAAAGTGTTATCTAGCTAATTATACCAACTTTTCAGTTATCATGAAATTCGATAACTAAATTTGGATAAATTAGAGACTAATTTCTCACATTTCATAAAGTAACATGGTTGAAATTGATAATTAGACATTAAAAAACTCTTAAACCATATAATAATAATCCATTTGGTTAAAAAAGAGACTTCGAATTCGTATTACAAATCATTCAAAAAATGCAGAAGAAGAAGAAGAAGAAAAGAAATCAAGAACTCGAAACAGTCATATATGTGAAAGATAGACGACGAAGACTGAATGATTATATACGTGTATACACATACATAAAACAGCACTCTAACGCAAAGTAGTACTGAAACCCTAATCAAATGCTTAAATCCAATATTTAGGTGCTGCAAAACACTGTATCATATGCATATAAATCCTTTTCTGTTTTTTGTTTACCAGATTTGTCTTTATTTTATATTATCTACTATATTTTTATTTTCAAAGGCAGACAACTTTATGCTCAAAGCTGCAATTAATGCCACCAATGACCTCAATTTTTCCTATCTTTCGCCATTTTCTCAAACTCACAGGTCCTTTTTCCAATCCACATTTTGTGAAAATCAAAAGATCAAAATATGATATCTAGCAAATTATTGGAAAAATGGATGCAATTAATAGCTCCACAAGCATTCCCCATGAGAATTCTTGGGCGAGTCATCATCGGAAGGAGCTAAACTGATTCTTGGCGGCGACACTAGCAGTCCCTCAGCCATGTCCACAAGAAAATTAGGCAGATTCAAAAGGACATCCTCGTCCACATATCCTTCGGCCGTAATTTCTACATCTTTGGCCTCATGATGTTGAACTGTCCCTACTAGATTAATCTCTCTCTCACTAGTTTTATTTTCAGGCTTTTGCAGTGACGCAGCTGCGGCTGCTGCTTTTCGTATATCGGCCGATGATGTCGAAGCAGGAGTCGGATATGAAGCAACGGCGGCAGGGAAGTTAACAACAGCCTCACTACCTTTTAGTGCTAGGACAGCCACATCATAGGCAGCAGCAGCCATTTCTGGCGTGGGGTACGTACCGAGCCATATACGCGTAGTTTTGCGTGGTTCACGGATTTCAGACACCCATTTTCCATTCCGGCACCGGATTCCACGATACATTGGGTGTTTCCCGGAGGAGCTAGATTCCATAGTAGTGGTTTTGGGAGATGTAGAAGATGGTTATGGTTTAGCAGTAGTAAGTACTCACATGTAGTAATACTTGCTGTGAAGGGATCAATGTGGGACTGGGATGTATGGGGTGGTCTAATTGAGGCACGTTGGTGGGGATTATTAGGGTCAGCCATACATATATATATATATATATATTAAAGGGTTTGTAGTATTAGCATGGCATTCCATAAAAAAGCTGAGTTACACTAAAGAGAAAAGTGAAAGCGTGGGGATTTCGCGGGGCAAATCGTGATACCCCAAGGCCAGTTGTGTTTCTATGGGCAAAATTTTTAGGGTTTTTAGTTATATTGGAGGAGTCTGAAGTAGAAAATGATGTCTGAGAGTGGACGTCGATGCTGTTTATTGATATAAGCTGGACGCGTTTTATTGGCTAGTCTCACTCTTAGGACTATACTTAGCTGTTTTCTATAATGCAGTTTGGACATATTTGCATTAGCACACGTACACCACACGAGCATAAAGGCCTTGCTACACTTTTAGTTTTGTTTGCATAAGTGAATGAGTTTTCCATATAAGAGGTTGAGAAGAAGAGTTGAGTCACATTAGGCCTTATACGTGCACCAAGCCTCATTACCGTGATAGCGACTTTCCCACTTGGTCCAATCACGAGATCAAAGTCAAGACAACTCAAAATTAACTACATGCAATCATGCAAGATTTCATAAACAAGTCTTCAAGCATTCTTGAAGAATCAATAATTCGAGCAATCTTCCCATGTATTTCACGAAAGAAGCTTAGCAAGACTTGAACTCGACTCATATTCACATCCGTCCAAGAACATCAGGATCACAAGTTCACAATCAGTTACTCCAAGTTATTCCCACATCCAAGCCTTGAAGAAAAGCCCTTAAATAATTTTAAATTTCATTAATTGGGTCAATAATGTAACAATTCGACCCAAAGCTAAATTATAAAACTTTGGTCGAATTGAGTCTTTAGCACAATAGGAGTTTTTATTTTATTTTATGTTTTAGGATTTATTTTATTATAGCACATATATCAACTCTTGTGATTGTAATTCCATTCATTGGATCTAGGATAGATCTAGGGTTAAGATTGAAGCTGCCCAAGTTTTGTATTCAATCTAGTTTGTAATTTCATCCATTGAATCTAGAATAGATCAAGGGCCAAGATTGCAACCGCCCATCTCTATTAGGTTTTAAGTTTTCAGATTTGTTATTATGTTCCTGGAGTTATGTGCCTCATTATCCTCTAAAAGAATGCAGCCTCCTCGCTTGTTTTTCATCTCTTGAATAATACTTTTCTTTCATATATGATTTTAAGTATATTTTTACAATTATTTTCACTTGTACCATCGAAGTTCTTTCAACACTTTCTTGTGATTAGTATCAAGTTGAAAACCATTTTCACACTTCGGATTGCTAGAAATCTCATTCTTGGAGGGTTGATTAGAGCTTTTGACCGAGTTTGTTGAATCTATTGCTATTCAAAGGGTTCCAAAGACACCAATGCCACCTTGTTTTCTTCTTGAATCAAGAAATTATATCATTATCTTTATTTTTTCATCTTCTTCTTTGCTATCTTTCTCACATTCTTTTGTTTTCCCTTGAAAATCACATTTATCCTTCTTTTTCAAGTGTCTACATCCTTGAAAGAATCAACTTTAAGAATCACAACATTTATCTGTACGACTACACGACCGGTAGATTCGACACCATTTTGATGCCATGAATGCTAGTCGGTAGATTCGACACCATTTTGATGCCATGAATGCTCTTCTTAGTGATTTGAAGGCTCATTTTTTGGATCCTTATCCCCTACTACGATCTTCTTCTCATCCGGATGATAAGGATTGAGTATGACTATAGACACCCGTTTTTGTCCGGGTTAACAAAAATATTATTATTATTATTATTATTTTAATACAAATGTACTTATTTTTTGCACGCATAAATTAAAGGCCTAATCAACAGGCCACAACCCATCACCCGAAGCCCAACAGAGGATTCAACCCCAACCCAACTGAAGCCCAATGTGAAACTGGGACCTTAATCAAAGCCACTCAGCCACCGACCCGATCCAGGATTCGACCCGGTCCCCTAGGGTTTCTGAAACCTAACCCTAGGGTATGATGCTGCCGCCGCGCCAGTCTCTGATATTGTCATCACCGATTGTTCAACAGACTGCTCCCACCTGCACCAATAGTGACTCAATCAATCAACAAGACCATCCACATTAAAATAAAGAACAAATCTCAGCAAATCCAAGACTACTACCATCAGTCACAACATACATAAACAAGGCAAATAAAAGGGGGAACCATTCGGGAACTAAAGGGGGAGGAAAAAAAGATATAGAGAAAATGAGGGAAAAAAACAACACAAATAAGAGAAAAAAGAGAAACAAAAAAGAGGGAAAACCCGAGAGCAAGAAAGAAAATCCAGATAAAGAGAAAAGGGAAGGGAAAGATTTGGGGTTTTGATAGGAAAAAGAGAGAAAATACAAAGGGGATTTGGGGTAACCATATTAAAAGAAAAAAACATCAAAAGGAAAAAGAAATGAAAAGAGAGGGAAAAAGTTTACCTTTTCTTCTCTAGATCTGCTCCGATCTAACCTCCATCTCGAAAATCCGACCCCGGATCCTTGTTGAGAGGGAAGAAACGCTTCGAATAGTGCCTTTGTTGATCTTCTCCTTCGTTGGCGAACGACGGCCGACACCGATCAGTGGCGGCGACAAGGTGATGACTCGCCACCGATAAAAGCTCTAGAGAGCTTTCTCTCTTTTCTCTCTCTTTCAAAAAAATGAAGAATGAAAGAAATGAGAAAGGTGGGTCGGTTTGGACCCATTTTTTAGCTTATATATAAAGCTCGGAACGACGCCGTTTCATGGAGGACTCAGAAAGCAATTTAGCACATGGGTTATTTGCAATATAGGTCCTCCACGGTTTGTAACCTTCTTATTCTTATCATCAATGAAATTTTTAATATTTTCTGTTTTGGTCTCCTATAATGTTTATGTTGTATCTTCGTCCCTATTTACATTTAAATGTTTTATGGTTTTATTTAAGCATGAGCCATCGTTCCTTATTTTATTTATAATTAAGCTGTATGTTTTCATGTTAGATCGTTTTAGTCCTTATTTGGTTGACTATTGCACTTTTATTAATGCTTGACTTTGGCTATGGTATTTACAATATTTATGTTTTAGCCACTGATTCCATGTATTGTATAATCTTTGTTGTTATTCAAATTTGGCCACCACATTTGTAAATATTTTATTTTAGTCACGGTTAGCATTTGGTTTAATTATAGTTCGAACCTTTATGTTTCTGTTTATTTCTTTTTAGTCTTTAATATTATTTATGAGTTATTTTCATTTTTAGTACATGTACAGCTTAATATTTATGATTTTGGCTCTAGTTTATTTGTAATTACTATTTAGCCCTTCAAATTTCTATTTTTACTATTTAAGTCCTTTAACTTTCTATTTTTGTTATTTTGGTCTTTTAACTTTTTATTTTTTCAATTTAGTCCTTTAAGTTTCTGTTATTTTATTTTGGTCCTTTAAATTTTTGAATATGTTTATTTGGCTATTTACATTTTAATGTGCAAATTTTTATTGTTTTGTTTTAGTCCCTTTTGAATTTATACATTTCGCATATCATGTATTTATTTGTATAACATTTAACAAATGTAATTTTTAGGGCTGAGCAACGAAACTGAGAAAATCGAAAAATCGACACGAACTGAGTAAAACAGTTCGGTTCGATTCAGATTAACCTTATACGGTTCGATTTTTGGCTTGGTTTAAATATCAAAATTATTTAATTCGGTTCGGTTCGAGTTTTCCATATGGAACCCATTTGTTCCATATTAAACCGAATAAATGAATTGGTCCGGTTACCCACTTACCCAGTTATCCTTACCCATAAGCAGTAAGCCCAATTAAAGAAAATAAAATAAAACCCTAAATCTAAATAACAATATTTTCTTTTTCTCCACTCTCCAGTCCGTTACTCAGCCGTTCTAGAGTCTCCACTCTCCAGTCTCCACCTTTATTTTTGCAACGATTCTACATAGCTTCAAGTCTTCAACTGCAACGATTTGACAGAGCTTCATCTCTTTCCCTTATCTTAGCATCTTGAACGTGATTTCATAAGGTAAATAATATTATAAATATTTTGGTATGTTAATTTTGGGGTGTGAATTTAGAGTTTTTGGTGGGTTTCAATGTTTCATTGATGATTGCTATTTTGTTTCATGAAATATATTATTTGCATGTGGGTCTGTGTTCTGTTGATCCTGTTTTGATGGTGGATGGTATTGTGGGCTGTTCTCGGGTGATTTATAGATAGGACTAGGACTAGGTTGAGTCACAGGTCAATTATTGTCGAAAAAACTTGATTCGTGGTGTGGACCTAGAGCTATTGTGTTTGAGTCAATTTTATGATTCGAGTTTCTTCAGCTCTGATGGTTGCTTTGCAGTAATTTTGAATTTGTTTGATCCATCAGGACTGCTGGTTTTAGATTTCAATATACGGAATTCCAGCTAAACTTTTCTTCCCCATGTTTTCAGTTGCTTAAGATTTAAATTATTTAATGGGTACTTTAGACTTCCTAAGCTTAAGTAACTTAAATTAAATAACATGCCCTTGTCTTTGTATGTGCGTGTTCATGAGAAAAATCTTACAGATTTTGTTAATTAACAGTAAAATTTTCATTTGGAGATAGAATCCACTTGCTTAAATTTCTTTCCAAGATTGGGTTAATATAATTATGGCCAAATAATGAAAGCTTGCAAATCAGAACAGTGCTCTAGGGTGCTTACACGATGCTTGGATTATTCAAAGCCTGCCATCTGGATCTAGATCACTAAAACTATCATCGTTTTGTAAATATTTAGATATGACAAGAGACAATTCGCTGGCTCATGGAGCTTGGTAGATTGAGTTTGTTAAAGTGGTATTATCCCACATCAATTGAATCCTAAAATGGGTTTTAGATTGGACGCTTTACAGAGTGGTTGCTTTCGTAAATTAACCCCCTAGTA